TGGCGGGCACCCCCGCCTTCTTCTTGCTTGGTCCAGCCCTTCTGGGGGGGCGTCGTTCCCATAGGGAGCTCCACCGCAGATTTCGGCGGCACGGTCCACATGGCGGCGCCGCGCCATGTGGGCGCAGACTTGACACGGTCCGTGGCATCACGTGGAGTTCGAGGGGAGGCCCAGCGGCAGGGCCCACATGGCGGCGCCGCCTTGTTTAAGCGCACGCATCATCACGGTTCGTGGCCCCGCAGGGAGTTCCACCGAAGACTCCAGTGGCAAGGTCCACATGGCGGCGCCGCTCCAGTTGGGCGTGCACTTCACACGCGGAAGTGGCGTTGCGACGCGCGGAGGTGGCATTGCCACCCCGCCTCCGCCGGAAACAATGTTAACAAATCGTGCGGCCAACAGCTCCGCTGACGGTGTTAACAAATCGTGTAGCGCCCAGTCTGTTCCAGACCAACAAATTCTTGACGCTTCGCGTATCCCCAACAGCCCATGCAGTAACGATGCCCAGGCGAATGGGGGTGATCAGGGAAGTGGGGGGCATACAGAATAACAAAAGGCTGGGGAACCCGTCTTACCCAAGACGGCGAGGATGGAGGATGAATCGGAGGACGATGAGGAGGAGGAACTCAAGGAGGAAAAGGGGGAGCGGGAGGAGGGTAGAGGGAGGAAGAGCAATAGGCGGATGAGGAGGAGGAGGAGGAGGAGCAGGAGCAGGACGAGAATGAAAAGGAGGACGAGGAAAAGGGCGAGCAGAATGGCCAGAGGCCTCTTGGATGCCTCTCGGAGTCTCTTCGGGGGTCTCTTGGGGGCGTCCTGAAGGCCTCTTAGGGCGTCTTGGGAGCGTCTCGGCGGTCCCGGAGGCCTCTTGGGGCGTCTTGGGTGCCCTGGGGAGCCTCTCGGGGACCTCTTGGGGCCATGTTGGGGCCATCTTGGGGCCATCTTGGGGCCATCTTGGCGCCTTTTGGGGCCTCCTTGGCGCTTCTTAGGGCCATCTTGGAGGCGATCGATCAAAGAAGAGAGTGGGGTTAATTAGGCCTGCCCCTCTAGATCCTCTAAAATCGCCTCTTGGGCTCATCTCGAGGCGCTCTTGGAGCGCTCTTGGGCGCTCTTGGGGCCGTCTTGAGGCCATCTTGGGCCCCTCTTGGGGCTATCTTGGGCCCTCTTGGAGCCATCTTGAGGCCTCGGAAGGCCATCGGAAGCGAAAGGGTGAGAAAGCAACACGCATTGATGTTCCTTCGGTTTTTGAAGGATTTGGGCCTCTTGGAGGCCTCCTGGGGGACCTAGCTGGCCTCTCGGAGCCGTCCTGGGGCGGTTTTCGGGCCTACTGGAGCATCTTCGGAGCCGTCTTGAGGCATCTGAGGCTAGCTTCTTGAGCAATCTTGGAGCTCATATTGGGCTCCCCGAGGCGCTCTTGGAGCCATCTTGGGCCATCTTGGACGCTCCAACTACCAGCGAAACCTCCCGTCCAGGTCCAGTGGAGGGGGTAGGGGGAGGGGTAAACCCCTCCCCCAAGGGGAAGAAAGGGGGTTGGAAGAGGAAACTCCCCAAACCACCTACGCCCAGAGGGCTGGTGGGACTGCGCGGCGCCCAGGTTGTTACCACATCGTGCGGCGCCCAGGTGTTCGCACATCGTTTCGCGCCCAGGGTGTTAACAAATCGTGCCGCCAAAAACCCCGCAGACGGTGTTAACAAATCCTCTGGCCAAGAACACCGCAGACGGTCTTCACAAATCGTGCGCCGCCCCGCATGCGGTCTTCGCAAATCGCGCGGCTACAAACCCAGCGCGCGGTTCGTGGACCCACAGGGGGGTCCACCGAAGGCCCCAGTAGCATCGTCCACATGGCGGCGCCACGTCACATGGACGCACCCCTCACACGGTCCGCGGCCCCACATGGAGCCCCCAGTTGTATATGGTTGGGTTTTTCGCCAGGCTACATTGTTTTTTTTTTTTTTGTTGGTTTGGTGGCTGGGCGTTTCTTATCCGCGTTGTTGGGTTAGCCTGGTGGTAAGGGGCCCAGGGAAACAATTGTTAGGAACAGTTGAGGTTCCGCAGTGTTGTGGCGGATGATGAAGGCAACCTGCGGCATGACATTCGAGACATCAGAACCGCGATTCAATTGTCCAGGAAACTCGTTTTGGACAGTTGCGTTTTCACATCAGTTTTTTTTGTTGCTGACATGTGGTAGACGCATGGTTTCGGACAGTTGAGGTTTGATGAAATGTCATTGGGTGCATTGGTGCACATGCTAATTTGCACACTGGCCCCGCATTGTCCCAGGTGTTGTGCTTGATAAAGGGGGGCATCGTGGCGCGTCCTCGCGTGGCCCTGCGTTCGTTTTCCGTCATTTTGAGGCCGTTCGGGGCCGTCATATGGGCCCCGTTGAGGACCTCGTTGGAAGTTTTTTGGGGCGCTCGGAGCAATCTCGCGGCCCATCCGAAAATGCGGAAAACAAACGCGACAGATTTTTCAAACGTGGACACAAACGATGAAACATGCATGGCGTCGGCTTCTGTGGACCAGCGCGGGGGCCGCCCTTGCGGAGCTCTTGGGCCGCCTGGGCGGCCGCGGGTTGAGTGCTTTTCCTATTCGCGGACTCCTTTCGAGACCGCCTGTGGGCGTCGTTTGATAATCTATGATGATTTATGGGCCGTCTCGGGGCCCTCTCCGACAATCGGGCGGTCTTCTGAGGGGTCGTTGGCCGTCTCGGAGTGGTCTTTGGGGACCTCGAAGGCCGCCCTGGGGCGCCAGGGAGCCCGAAAGGTGCGGACCTCCACATCTTGAATATAATCAAGGATAGATCAATAGTATTTGTCTTTCGGTGCTGTGGTGGGGGCCCTCGGATATCCTTGCGCGCGTTTGCGCCGCCTCGTGCGTCCTTCGTGGGTCTTGTCGGTGCGGAATCAAAGGATTAGCTGGTCGCGGCGCGCCTTCTGGGATCCCCAAGGGGCCGTCGCGATGTCTTCCTGCGCCGCCTCGGGGCCACGCGCGGCCGTCTCGGGGCCCGCTTTGGAACTTGTCGGGCAGCGTAGGGCCAACATTGGATTGGGGCGCGCGGGGGTTGAAACGATCAAACAGATGGTTGTTGAGACGGGGCGGCTGTTGTGTCACTTATGCACGGCCGTGGCCTCGATGACACTAACCAGACGCATTGCGCGCGCCAAACGGGGTGCGATTGCATATCCTGTCGAACTGCAAGTACGTCATACGCCTTAGAGAACGTTGGAAATAATCCCAAATGGAAGCGCGAAGCGTTTTCACGCGCCTCTGCGTGCGAAAGCATGGTGGCGGCCTTCCTTTCCTTCCCCTCCGACCCCCTTCCCCCCCTCGCCGCGCTCTACTCTGCGTCCCCCCGCTGCGCCTCCGGCCCCCGCCCCGCCAAACCCTCCGCTCCTGCCCCCCCCCGCCGCCCCCGGCGCCCCCCCCCCTCTGTTGCAATTTTGGATCCGACCATTCTGGCTCAAGTATTCTGGCTCCACAGAACCCTCTGCGTCGACGTCGTCTCCGCGGTGGGTCGACGCCCAGTGCGCAGGCTGCGCTGGCGCGCGCTGTCGGCCCTTCGGAACGCGCGCAGGCCCGCGGAGGCGCGCTCCCGCCTTTGCGGCGTGCGCGCGTGCGCGCGCGAGCGGGCTTTCAATCCCTTCGTTGTGCGTCGCGTCTTGCGCTAATCTGCGCGGTGCGGACGTGCGCGGTCGACTGCGCCGCTTCTTGCGCCGCGCGGCGACGAGAGGATGTGTTTTTTTGTTGTCGCCGCCGTTCGAGGCGCCCATCAATTCCTGGCCGCTGCTCTTGAGTTCTGACCGTTCCCAGCGAGGGTGCCCAGCCTCATAGCTGACTGTTGGCGGTCGCGCTTCGACGCGCGATGCGTTTTTAGCGCGCCCTGAAAACCAGCGCCCGTTGCAATCCGATTCCATACCTCGCTGTTTTTTTTCCAGCTTGGGCTTGCGTTCGCGCCTTGCCGTGCGCGGGCGGCCCTACTCGCGTGATCGCGTCGCTTTGGATGCGCGGCGCGGTTTTCATTATGGTTTTGCGACCCCAAGAACTTTCAGAAGTGCGCCTGGCGACCTGCAAATTTGCACAGCCAGTTGCCATCGCGCCGCGACTTCTGGCGATGCCATCGCCCTCGAACGTGCGCGCGCGCACGTGCGAGCCACTGGTTGTGGGTTAGCGCGCGCAGGCACGCGCATCGCGTTGGCTTGTGCAGTTTGCGTTCATCATGCGGTTGCGCGCTGTAGTGCCGCGTGGGGTTCGCGCGTGGTTGCGCGACCTCCAATGTGTCATTGAACGTAATGGCGCCTTTGATGTCGCTGTCGCAATGATACTTGCTCCAAGGTGTTTGTTCGATGTAGCACCGCTGCCGCTGTCTTTGGCGCAGCGGTTCCTCATCGCAACGTCGCGATTGGCAGGCAATTCGGTCCGCGCCCTTTCGCGCCAAACGCTGTGATCGTGGTGCCCATCGGGGCTTCAGTCTGCAGCGAGGAGCATCGCGCGGGCGCTCGCGTTTTCGCGTTCAGTCAGCCGCGATTGGTCCAACGCTAGACCGAGCATTTTGCGATTAAACGTTTAATTTTTTGAATTGCGTTTTGTCGTCAAAAGCTTCGCCAGTAGAATGGCACCACTGACAATGCCTCGCAGCAGGCAGCGGCAGCGTTGGGTCCCGCACGTACAGGCACGGTGGCAGATAAAAGGCGATCCCCAAGAGCGCCCGGAAATCCCCAGAACTCGGGGCTCATGGGCCATGAAGAGCACTTGCGATACTACCGAGAACCCGAAGCGACGGGAGTACACGCCATGCAGTGCTTCGGGGAATGGTGACGGATAATATGAACGGCGTCCGTGTCCCTGGGCCCAGGGGCTGCACCATTTTTCCCAGACTCCCTCCTGGAACCACTTTTGTGCCATCGGGGTCCAGGGGGGCTTTTCAGGCTTTGTTGTTGCCATTTCGGCCTCAGAAGGCTTCCGACACGGTTCCAGAGGCCGCCAAAGCGGCCCAGGATTGCCGCAGACGCTTCAGACGATTCCGCACAGCCCCAAAGACGGTCTGGGAGGCGTAAGCTAGCCTGGCGAAGGGTCTAGTCTTATGCAGATGGAGTGGCCCTCTCTTCGTATACAAAGCACCGCGGGACAGTGCGGATAGGGGGATCATCACAGCGCAGCACAACTGAGGCGCGATCCATGTGATTTGTGCGCCAATTTCGGCGGAGGGCGGCATGCGGACGCGCCCGCTGAGGCCGTAGGTGTCACTCCGTATGGGGGTCTGGAATTTGTGCGGGTTGGGGGAAAAACGATGAAGGGGGGGATGAGGTGATGAGGAGGTAGGGTGTGGTGCTGCGGATTCAAAACGAGGGCGCAACTCCACTTAACATTTGGGGTAACATTAAACGCACACTGGTTGACGAGTGGATGTCGTATCATCCTCGATTGTACGGTGTTTCGCCGTGCGCCAAACTTTGAGGAGTGGCGCCAAGCGCTAATGCAGCTTTGAATGCTAATGCGCGGGGCTCGCAAATTTGCAAGCGAAACAATGCCGAATGGCTGACCCCGGGCTGTGCAACAAGATCTCCGGGAATCATGGGTCGAAGGTTGGGTTCCTGTGGGTTCGAGGAGTGCACGTCTGGACACGTGATCCGCCCGCTCTTAGGCTTCCTCCTCTTCCTCCCTCCTCTTCCTCCTCGCCTCGGGCGCCGGGCGCTGCCAGCACGGAATTCATGTCGCCGTGGCGGCAGAAGACCCTGAGCTGCATCATGAAATCTCACAGGGCATCAGACTGTACTGTTCCTACGGGAGACCGTGCGGGAGACGGCAGGGGGGATCATACGGCGGACCAATCAGGAACACCATCAGGAAGACCCTAAACTGCATCAGACTGTACTGTTCCTACGGGAGACCATGCGGGAGACGGCAGGGGGGGGATCCCACGGCGGACCCATCAGGGAGACCGTTCGGGAGACCGCGCGGGAGACCAGGCGGGAGACCGTGCGGGAGACCGTACGGAGAACCATGCGGGAGGCCATGCGGAGCACCACACGGGAGACCAATGCGGGAGACCGTGCGGGAGACCCTGCGGGAGACCATAGGGGACACCATCTGGGATACGGGAGGCCACACGGGCGACCACACGGGAGACCATCTTGGAGACCACACCGGGAGACCGGGGACCATGTGGGAGACCATGCCCGACCGAATCCAGATCTGGCGGTCCACGTAGTCGCGTCTCAGGAAGTGTGTATATAACCTTTACGGGCCAGCTGTTTAGGGAGATGCACTGTCAGGGCTAGACACCCAGGGACCACCCTGAGGTGAAGGAGCCCCTCTCCCAGGGGGGCGTGCCTTCCAGGGCAGGCCAGCGCGGCCATGTCGAGGTGTTCCGGGAGCCGGCTTGATATTGATATGGAAGCATGCCCCGGTGGCTTGAGACCGCTGTGGCTCCCCTCCCAGGACCCAGCGCCTTCTCCAGCAGCCCAACGACGCCGACTGGCGCGCCGATGCCGATGAACCTACAGAAATCGATGGCGAAGTGGAACCTAGAACTGTGGGCGGTGGACAGCGGCGGCTGCCTGAGGGGCTGGACTAGTTGGTATTCTGTCCGACCCGAGTCGGGCACATTCGGGGCGTGCGAGGAAGGGTGGCCTATTGCAGAGATGAAGAGTCTCGAGGGCAGTCAGTTTGTGGGCGTGGTGGTGCTGACGACGTCTGGCGGCATCCATTGCAAGAGCGCCACTTATTGCACCGACAGTGTCAACGAGCACGGCGTCGGTAAAGTGCCTTATCCAAACCAGGCGGCCGATCCAGCAGTGCAGGTCGCTCTTGGTCCAGAGAACATGTTGCTGCTCACCGCGTCTGGCAAAGTGATGGTTATGGGGCAAACTCGGTTCGGAGTTGTCCAACCAAACTTCAATGGGATATCCAAAGGCACGCTCGCCACGGAAATGAAGCCCGTCTTTGGGCTGCCGGACCCGGGTGTGAACCCCGCCGTGCAGGTGGGCATCAAGAATGGCTATGGGGGGTACTCTGCGGGTGTACTCACTGCCTCGGGAGAGTTGTGGAGTTGGGGCGACCGAGCCACGCGTTTCGCCTTCCCGTCCAGTTCAAACAGTGAAGTGCCCAGGACGCTCCAGGGGCTCCCAGTCGCCGACGCTTTCATCATCGATTTCATGATGGGGGGGTACCATTTCCTCCTCTTGAGGACTTCGCAGAATAAGGTGTACGGAGCAGGAGGAATTCCTCTCGCTTCGCGGGTGCATGTTCGGCGAGCCAGAGACACGGGACAGTGCCCTGTCTTGTGCCCTCTTGGGGCTTCCGAGGGGCCTCCAGAGATGGCTCCCGAGGGGGTTCGGGGGGTGGGTCCCATGGGGGTTCCCCGAGGGGTCCCAAAGGGGCCCCAGAGGAGTCCTGGAGCCTTCTTGATTCGGAGTCCTCTCTTGGGGACCTCTTGGGCCCCTCCTTGGGGGTCCTGTGGGGCCTTCCTGGGCTCCTTGGGGGCTTTCTTGGGCCTTCAGAGGGCCAAGGGGATGGTTCTGGAGGCTACTCCTTCCTTGCGCTCCAAACGAGACCCTCATTTGGGACTATCTCGGGGCCCCTCGGGAGACCGGTTCTGGGCCCGCTGGGAACCTCAACATCACTGAACAAATTATGGACCTCTCTTGGACCTCTCTTGGAGCCTCTTGGGGCCTCTGAGGGGCCCAAGAGGGACCCCCCAGGGTGTTCCAAAACCGGCTTCAACCGCCTTTGAACGAAGAGGAGCATTTGTTATTTTCTTGCACCCTTTTTGGTACCAAAAAGAGCTCCAGAGTGACCCTCCACCCAGGGGGTTGCGGATAGGGCGTTGCGTGGGGGTGGGGGGAATCGGGGGGGTGCCGTAGAAAAGAATTTTGGAAGGGCTCTCGGGGCTTCTTGGGGGCATCTTGGGTGCTTCTGGGGACCTCCTGGTAGCCTCTTGGGGCGGAGAGCTTGAAACGTGGGTTGGTGTTCCCCCCCTTGCGCCCTCTCTTGGGGCGCTCTTGGGGCTCTCTTAGGCCGTCTGGGTCGGAGGGGGGGGGGGTCACGACCCCCATGGCCCCCCCCCGGGACCCGCCCCGGGACCCCCCCCTGGCACGGGGAGGGTGGGGAGGGGCTTCACCTCGATGAAGACGTTGTTCGATTTCCCTCTGGTTGGAGCGGTGACGGCGGCGACCACGAGGACGACGACGAGGAGACGGCCCCTCGGCGTAATTTTCCAAAGCCCGAGCCCCGTCGGGCCCTGTTTAGGTTTTTTGTCCGGGGCAGAGAATGTTGAAACATCATGTGAAAACAACATTTTACCCAGCGTGAACCCCAAACAGTGGGTTCTAGCATATGTTGCGGTGCAATATATGCAGTGCAATCTACGCCGTGCAACCCATGCTGTGCAAGCTATGAGGTGCAACCTACGCGTTGCAATATAAACGGTGCAACCTATGCGCTGCAACCTATGCGGTGCAATGTATGCGATACAACCTATGCCGTGCAATCCGCGCGGCGCAAGCCACATGATGCAAGCTATACAGTGCAATCTATGCGGCGCGATCCATGCGGTGTAATCTATGCGGTGCAATCCACCCTGCTGAACTTGAAGTCGTCATCTCCACTGCTCGCGCAAACATCCCACCCACCCACCCGCAACTTGGTTTGCAAAACCTGTTAAGACCGACTACGACGACACCGACGACAACGACTAGGACGACACCGACGACGTCTCCGACGACTTCGACGACGACAACGACGCCGACGCCGACGACGACGAAGACGACGACGACGACGCCAACGAAGCGACGACGAGGGAGGAGGAAGGACGACGACGGCGACAACGACGACAACGACGACAACGACGAGGGAGGAGGGAGGACGGCGACGACGCGAACGACGACGAAGGAGGAAGGACGGCGACGCCGACGACGACAACGACGAGGGAGGAGGGAAGACGACGACAACGACGACGACGACGGCGACGAAGTAGGAGGGAAGACGACGAGACGCCGACGACGGACGACGACGACGACGAGGGAGGAGGAAGGACGACCACGGCGACAACGACGACGGAAACGACCACGACGCCAAAGAGGACGACGACGACGACGAACACGAGAAAAGACAAGAGGACGACGTAAGCGACGACGACGACGACGACGACGCGGGAGGAGGGAGGACGGCGACGACGACGACGACGACGCAAGAGAGCGCGCGCACGCTTTTGTTGAAAATCCGTGTTGCGAAACCTTGGGTTTTTGTTGTTTTTTTGGACGCACGATTTTGAAATCCTTCCGAAACCGATGGGTTTTGAAGGTTTTCGGCGTACACCCGCGACGACGCGCGCGTCTGCACTTCGTCCCATTTTTGCAGAGGATTCTCGCGACGGCACACGCGCAAGGGCGTTCGACAGATTTCGACATGCGCGCGCGCGATGCCCGTTTGGTAGCATTTTGTAAAAATCTTGGAAACATAGTTTTTCTTTCCTTGTTTTTTTTTTAAAAAAGATTTCGCAAGAGCTCGCGCGGAAGCTTTTTTAGCAACTCAGTGTTGCGAAACCATATGTTGTTGTATGTTTTTTTTTTGAAGCTCGATTGCGAAATCCTTCCGGCACCGAAGGTTTTTGAAGGGTTTCGGCATGCGCGCGCGACGACGTGCGCGTGTGCACTTTGTCACATCTTATGCAGGGGAGTCGCGAAAAAGTGCTATGTTAGAACAAAAAATGTCACCGCATAGTGTTTTTTACAAGGGAACCTCAGGGGGGGGAACCCAGCCTAGCTGGGATGGTATGATTTCATATTTAGGATGGACGAGTGTGCAGAATATATATGAAATCATATTATCCCAGGGGGAAGCGATAAGTCCGGGGGGGGGGCAGAGTCTATTCTCTTTTTAGTGACTACCCTACACCGCGCTTGACCACTCAACTGCTCGCGCAAACATCCCACCCACCCACCCGCAACTTGGTTCGCAAACTCTCTTAAGACCGTGGCGGTGGGTACCAAATGGCACTTGCCAACGACAGCGACGCCGACGACGACAGCGACAACGACGACGACGACGCCGACAACGACTACGACGACACCGACGACGTCTCCAACGACTTCGACGACGCCGACAACGACGACGACGACGACGACGACGACGACGCCGACGCCGACGACGACGACGATGACAACGACGACGACGATGACGACGCCGACGACGATGACAACGACGACGACGACCGACGACGACGACGACGGCGGCGGCGACGACGACGACGACGCCGACAACGACGACGAAGACGACGACGACGCCGACGCCGACGACGACGACGAAGACGACGACGACGTCGCCAACGAAGACGACGACGAGGGAGGAGGGAGGACGACGGCGACAACGGCGACAACGACGACAACGACGAGGGAGGAGGGAGGACGGCGACGACGCGAACGACGAAGAAGGAGGAAGGACGGCGACGCCGACGACGGCAACGACGAGGGAGGAGGGAAGACGACGACGACGACAACGACGACGACGACGACGGCGACGAAATAGGAGGGACGACGACGAGACGCCGACGACGGACGACGACGACGACGAGGGAGGAGGAGGAAGGACGACCACGGCGACAACGACGACGGAAACGACCACGACGCCAAAGAGGACGACGACGACGAACACGAGAAAAGACAAGAGGACGACGTAGGCGACGACGACGACGCGGGAGGAGGGAGGACGGCGACGACGACGACGACGCAAGAGCGCGCGCGCACGCTTTTGCTGAAAATCCGTGTTGCGAAACCTTGGCTTTTTGTAGGTTTTTTGGACGCGCGATTTTGAAATCCTTCCGAAACCGATGAGTTTTGAAGGTTTTCGGCATACGCCCGCGACGACGCGCGCGTCTGCACTTCGTCCCATTTTTTGCATAGGGTTCTTGCGACGGCACACGCGCAAGGGCGTTCGACAGATTTCGACATGCGCGCGCGATGCCCGTTTGGTAGCATTTTGTGAAAAGCTTGAAAAACCAATGGTTTTCTTAAGATTTCGCAAGAGCTCGCGCGGAAGCTTTTTAGCAAATCAGTGTTGCGAAACCACGTATTTTGTATGGTGTTTGGAAACTCGATTGCGACATCCTTCCGGCACCGAAGGTTTTTGAAGGGTTTCGGCATGCGCGCGACGACGCGCGCGTGTGCACTTCGTTTCATTTGTTGCAAGGGATTCGTGGACAAAATGTTATGTTACGACCAAACATGTCACCGCATAGTGTTTTTTACAAGGGAACCTCAGGGGGGAAACCCAGCCTGCCTGGGATGGTTTAGGATGCACGAGTGTGCAGAAAATATCTGAAATCACATTATCCCAGGGGGAAGCGATAAGTCCTGGGGGGGGGGTAGAGTCTATTCTCTTTTGAGAAAGGAGAATAAAATGATAATCAATGCGACGCAACCCATGGTTTGCAATCTATACGGTGTAAGCTATGCGATGCACGCTGTGCGATGCCATCTATACTAGTACGATCTATGCAGCCCGCGCGGGCGCGAGGGTTCGCTGAGCGTGCGCGTGGGGCGTCACAGTTAACGGCGCAGATTTGCATACACGCAAATCCGCGCCGTAAACTTTGGCGCCGCCCGCGCGCCCCCCAAGCGAACCCGCGGAGGCCCCAGCGTGGGGGCACGGGCGGCGCATCAATTTTTATCTGGTGTTCATTCTCTTTTTTTGGGTAAGAAGAAATTCCATATCGGGTTCGGAGAATATCCGACGAACATCATCCTTTCAAAAGCGCGACGAGAACTTAGTGGTCCTTGAGCTGCGCGTCGTCGTGGCCGTGCGCGGACGCCGGCCGAGATGCGGGATCCTGCGTGTATTGCAGGCCTCGGCACTTCTGTGTTACAGGACTTGTCCGGCTTTCCAGCCCCTTCTGGGGCCGTCTCGGGGACCATTTTGGGGCCCAAACCCAAGAGGGGGCCCAAGAGATTTCCAAAGCATGTCTTGAAACTTTTTTCAGATGATTGACCCAGAAGGGCACTCCTTTAAGTGTCTGAGGGCGGGTGGTGGTGGATGAGCTCGCCCCCCCCCTCCCCCTCTCACCCCCCCCTCTCAAACTGGAATTTGGGAGCCCCCCGGGTGAATGATGGTGGGGAGCGATCTCACGCGCCAGTAGCCTCTAAAGGGGATGGTGGACCAGCTCTGGCGCCAACGGATGCCCGAATGGCCAAGATGGTCCTTGCGAGATCACCGATCGCATCCCGGGTCTGGATACCGATCCTGTCTCTCATTACATGGCTGCGTATTACGCATCATGGATCGTTCTCACATCAGGCAAGATTTATACTTTGGGAACCGACGATAAATGTGGTGCGCGCGGTTTGGGCATCAACAGTGGTCAGGACTCTGGCAGCCACCATCCCGACCCAGAGCCGATCACGTCGTCGTTGCCATCGGGAAGCTCCGCCGTGGAGCTCGGTGGCGATGTCAACTCGCCTTACGCTGTCCTGATGACCTCTGGCGAAATCTATGTCTGGGGCTGGTGGTCTGTGCAGGAGCAGTCCTGCCTGCTGCGCGGCAGTGCGTGGACAGGCACGCCGACGCCGCGATTGGTGGACCAGTTCACGGCTTTGCTTCCGCAGGCCCGAGGAGAGAGAGGTAGGAGGAGGGGCGAGGGAGGGCGTCGTCGTGGTCGTAGGTTTGTAGATTTTCTGCGGCCCCTCTGAGTGCACAAATGTATCTCCATGGGTTGGGTCTGCTCGAGGTCGTTCTGCGGCTGTCGGGGTCTCTGGGTGGTCTCGTGGAGGCCTCTGGGGCCACTTTTGAGCGGTGATTGGGCTCTTGTCTTGGTGGTGCCCCACGTGTGGGTCACCGGCAGGAGGAGGGAGAGAAGCAGGAGGGGGAGGAGGCTCGTCAGCACATCGCCCATCCAGGCGTCAACGCCCAGCGCGGGCGGCGCCGGCGCCGGGGCCTCGGCCGTCGGCGACCCCCACCTGCAGAACATTCATGGCGAGCGGTTCGACCTGATGAAGGCGGGCAATCACGTTCTGGTAAACATCCCTCGTGGAGCGGCTGCTGACAGCGCCCTGCTTCGCGTGCAGGCCGATGCGCGCCGCGTGGGTGGACAATGCGCGGACATGTACTTCCAAAAGCTCAATGTAACCGGATCTTGGGCAGAGGCCAAACAAGCTGGAGGGTGTCATTACAGCGTATCAGAGCGTGACACCAAGGCTCCGAAATGGGTTGCTTTCGGGAAGGTCGAGCTGAAAGTCGTGCATGGACGTACGGACAGCGGCTTCCTGTACCTGAACTTGTACGTGAAGCACCTGGGGCGAGCTGGATTCGCAGTCGGAGGGCTACTGGGTGAGGACGACCACGAGGACGTGAGCGCTGCGCCGGAGTCGTGCGCGCAGCGCTTGGCCCTCGTCGCGGGAACGCACCGCGACGAGGGCCAGGCGCTTTCGTTCGCAGTAGCAAGCCTCGCTTGACCATGACGGCCAGGACGCTACCTACACAGGCTCCCGCCCCTGCCGCCGACCTCTCGGGCTGGGCCACGGCAGGATGCTTCGCTCCTCTGCCGCCTTCCTCCTCGTTGCTGGGGTGCGTTCTGGTCCCTCGCGGCCATCTCTCGGATGCTTCTGAGGAGGAGGAGGAGGAGGAGGAGGAGGAGGACGAGGAGGAGGAGGAGGATGCCTCTCGATGGTTTCTCGGGGCACTCTTGAGGCCGAATTGAGTCGTGGACAAGACGCCTATTTGTTGGGGGTTCTTGGGGTCTCCTGGGACGCCTCTCGGGGGCCTCATGGCGACATTTTTGCGACCTCCTGAGGCCCTTTGGGGGGACAGTCTTTCTTGTTCCTCGGGGGGCCTTTTGGGGGCAGGTGCGGTACCCGCGAACATTTCAGACACTCCACTGATCGGGGCTTTTTGATGTACAAGTGGAGCACGACGAAGAGGAGGAGAAAGGAGGAGGCGGAGGAGGAGGAGGAAGAGGAGGAGGAGGAAGAGGAGGAGGAGGAGGAGGAGGAGGAGGAGGAGGAGGAGGAGGAAAGGGTCTTCGGGGGTGCTTTGAGCTAACTTGTACCCTCATGGGGCCCTATTGGGTTCACAGTGGGGCTGTTTAGGGAGGCAACTGGCTTCCACGGCCGTCCGGCGCTTTGTGGCCTTCGTCGGAGTCTGGCAAAATTTTCGGGTACTTCGCCAGCGCCTCTCTGGACCACGATCAAGTTGTAATTCGGGTAGTTCTTGTCGCCAGTCTGCGTTCTCACAGCCACTGGGCGCGCCGGGCCAGCGGAATAATTTCGGGCGCTGCTCCCAGCAGCCGTCCTCTCTTTGGGGCCGCGAGCGTAACCAACCCGCTCGTGTGAGCTGGCCGCCAAGGCCAGCTCCAGCCCTCGCTTCCGTGCGCTCGAATCTGAAAAAGGAAGCGGTCAGGCGTCGCAAACGGTTTGAATGCCCATTGCCAGGAATTGTGAATTGTTATTTCTCTATCGTTCGTCTTGTGGCCGCAGATCAGCGTACCCGGATCTCTGGAAATTCCTGCTCGCCTTGCTCTATACCGAAAGCCTCGTGCGTTCCCATCAGCCCATCCTTGATCAGCATCGCGCCCCGTCTGGATGTGGCCTGGTCGTGGCTTGCCCGACCTGGTCTGCTTATGTGTGGTCTGGTGTGGTGTGATCAGCGATTGTATCATAGAATGTCTGGGCCTGGCATGTTACGGCAGTTTTTTGGAGGTAGCGTCATCAGGTCGCGGATTTACGTGTACGTGCAATCAGTGGTCGAACCAGATGCGGTCGTCTCAGTGGTTCCTCCTTCTCCTCCTGCTCGCCATCTCAGATTCCCGAATGTCTTCTTTGCGCTCCTCCTTCTGCCCTCTCCTTTCCCGCCGCCTGCGCCAGTCACGCCCCGCCCCCGCACTCGTTCATCGCCGACGTCTCCATCCTAACATCTGCCATGTCCGCATTCGGCGGGCGGCACAGAGAGGGGGTAGGAGGAGGATGAGACGGGGGAGAGGAGGGGGTAGAAGAGGAGGAGGAGGAGGAGGAGGAGGAGGAGGAGGAGGAGGAGGAGGAGGAGGATGAGAAGGATCGGAATGAGGAAGAGGATCGGAGGAGGATGGTGAAAATGATTGGAGGAGGATGAAGAGGATGATCGGGGGAGGAGGAGGAGGAGGGGTGCCGAGCACATGGGGAATACTTTTTTCACGCGGATCACATGTGAACGCTGAACGTGGAGCGTGCGGAGAATCAAAAGCACATTTTTTTGATAACACCATTTCCTTTCCGCGCGACGCGGAAGAGGTCGCCAATATTTCAGGGGAGCTTCGCGCAGAAAAGCGATGGCTCGAAATCTCTTCTTCAGCGCGGCGGGTGCTCGAAATTCATTCGCCTGTCTCGCGCCTCGCGCGACCCCAAAAAATGTCGGAACAGCTGGCCCAAAAAATCTCGAAACAGCGAGACAAGCGATGGCTCACAATCTGTTCGCCGGCGCGCCGGTCGCTCGAAATTGAAATTCGTCTGTCTCGCGCGACACAGAAAAATGTCGACACAGTTGGCACGGGTAGCCAAGATTTTTGGGGGGGCTTCGCGGGAAAGCGATGGCTCAAAATCTTTGGGCGGCGCGCAGGTTGCTCGAAATTAATTCACCTTTTCGCGCGAGCCCCAAAAAGGTCAAAACAGCTGGCGCAGGGAGCTAATGTTTTTGCAGTTCGCCGCCCCAGAAAAATATTGGCGTCGTGGTCGCATCCGTTTCGACATTTTTGGGGGCTCGCGCGAGACAGAAGGAGTTGGTATTGGGAAGGAGAACGAGGGAAGCAGGAAGAAAGCGAGGAAGAGGGAGGGATGCAGACAGGGGGGGTGACGGAGGTAAGAAGCACGACTGATAAGAATACGTGGACGGGGGATGCAGGAAGAGTAAGAGGAAGAGGAAGAGGGATGGGTCCAGGCAGGAAGGACGATTGGGGGAAGAGGCATGAAGGTAAAGAAGAAGTGGGTGGGGGAGGGAAGCCTAACAAGGAAGACGGAGGGTTCAAGACAGGAAGGGCGATGGGAGTAAGAAGCATGAGAGATCATAAAGAGTGGAGGTCAACGCTCGACGGAACATCAGTGGTTGCTGGGGGGGGGGCTGCGCACACACATATATTTATTTATTTATACATATTATATATACATATATGTATATGCATATTTATATGGATGTGTGTATTTATATACATGTATATATATATATATATATATATATATATATGCATATGTATATATATATACCTTCGACCTATGAAATTACAAGGACAAGCTCCACGGGTCGCCAGCACCCCCCGATAGGAGTAGCCCCGCCGCATCCCAGGAAACCCCCAAAGGCCCCCAAGAGGCACCCATGGAAGCGTCGCGACGGCCTTTGACCGATTCCAAACGCCCCCAGGACGACCCAAGGAGCTCCAAAATTTCGCTCCAAGACGCCCTGGATGACCCCAAGACGGCTCAGGAGGCTCCCGAGACGCCCGACGAGGCTCCCAAAACGCCTCCCCAAGAGAGCCCCGAGAGAGAAATTCGCCACGTTCTTTTTTGGGAAAACGTCTATGTGTAGCTTCTTTGCTTCTTGGGCTCTCACTGTGTCCAAGAGGGCACGATAGCCCCCCCCGATCACCCCAGGACAGCTCAAGAGGCCCTCAAGAGGAACCCAATACGTCCCAAGATGGCCTTAAGACAGCCCAAGAGGCCCCCAAGACGGCCCAAGAAAGCCCCGGGATGGCCGCGAGAGGAGGGCGAAGAGAGAGGCCCCGACCTGACATTTTTAAGCCTTCGTCTCCAAGACGCCCCCAAGGACCCCAGAAAGCTTCTGAGAGGCTTCAAGAAGCCACAAGAGGCCCCAGGGGACCTCAAGAGGCCCCCAAGAGGCCCCCACAATCTCCCGAAGGCTCCCTAGAGGCCCCGCCCCAAACGCCCCCGAAGCCACGAATGCCGACGAGCCTCTCGTTGTGCATTCCTCCCCGGAGGCTCCCAAGAAGCCGCGCCCCGGACGCCCCGACGGCCACAAACGCTGACAAGCTTCCCGTTGTGCATTTCTTATAACCAGAGTTGGAGAATGGAAACTCTTTTATACTACAGGGCCATGCCCAGAGGCGTTTGCAGTTGATCATTTGAACTTGAACGCCAGGAGTGTCCGAAAAGGTGACGACGAGCAGGGGGAACGGAAAAGAGGAGGGCGACGATGAAGAGGAAGAGGAGAAGGAGGCGGAGGGAGATATTCCTGGGGAGTTCTCCGGGTCATTCTTGAGTACTCAGAAAGCCGTTTATTCTGTTGGCGCAAGTTTGAAACCGGTTCGAAGCAGGATTGCACAGAACAACCCTACAGCCTTGGGGCAAGACTTTCCCCGAACTAGTTTGGGAAGCCTTCGGGGAACACATAGACGAAGAACACGAGAATGAGGAGAAGGATGGGGAGGAAAGCGATAATGAAGATGAGGATGGGATGGGAAAGAGAGGAATAAGGGAAGTGCTTCTGCGGCGAATCGTTGGGCCAAATATCGGCCAAGCCATCGGTCTATGTAAGTTTGGAAAACTTTTGGGGACACGCGGAGGAGAACAAAGGGAGAGAGGGAGGAAGAGGGAGAGTAGGAGGAGGAGGCTTCTTGGGAGCCCCTTAGGCCACTCTTCGGGCTCGATGGGCGCTTCCTGAAGGCTCCTTGGAGGCCTCTTCGGGACTTCCTTGGGCCTGCCGAGCGCCTTCGGGGCTGCCGGGGGGTTTCTTGGGGGGCTCTTTGGCCGTCTTATGGCGCTCCTGGCCCGTCCGACGCCGTCGGGTGCCGTCTCGGGGGCCCCTCTGAACCGACTTGGGGTCCTTTTGGAGCGCTGCGGGGCCGTCTTAGGAAGCGCCTATGTGGCCGACAGCTGGGTTAGGGCTTGCGAGGCGATCGAGCCGCGAGGCTATCGAGCCCGTTGTTCCCCGAGTCGGTTAGGAAAGCCTTCGGGGAACGGAGGAGGAGGATCAGGAGAGGGATGAGGATGATGACTAGGATGAGGATGAGGATGAGGATGAGGATGATGGGGGAGGAGGAGGAGGCGGAGGAGGAGGAGGAGGAGGAGGAGGAGGAGGAGGAGGAGGAGGAGGAGGAGGAGGAGGAGGAGGAGGAGAAGGAGGATGAGGAGGGCGAGGTGGAGGAGGAGGATGAGACTGGAAGAGGAGGAGTAGGAGAGACCTCTTGGGAACCTCTTCGGAGGCCTCTTGGGAGGTCTCCTGGGAGGCCTCTTGGGAGGCCTTCTGGGAGGCCTCTGCGGAGCCTCTCGGGAGCCTCGAGGAGGCTTCTTGGGAGCCTCCTTGAGCCTCTTGGGGGCCTCTTGGGGGCTTTCGGGGGCTTCTTGCGGGCCTCTTTCGCCGTTTTCGGGCGTTCCTGACCCGTCTGACGCCGTCGGAAGCCGTCTTAGGGGCCTCTCTGAAAAAGATTTGGGGCCCTCTTGGGGCTCTCCAGGGCCGTCTTCGAGGCCATCTTCGG